TTTGGTTTGGATAACATGAATTCTCAAAAGGGTTTTATGGCTATTAAAATTATAACAAGAAAGAACACTTAATTTTCTAGTGAGATCTGAAACCTCAAGATAGTCTTAAGTTACAATACATTTGTAGTACGAATTACTACCATAATGTTTTAGTACAATATTACTTGGTTAAGTGATATTAAATTTATCATGAAAAAAGTTAGTGAGTAAATTGATACAAGACTCTTCTCTAAGTTTCTAGTTTTCATTCCTCTATCCCCCATCCCACCAATTTTACAGAAGATGCAAAATTTTCTTCAAAATATAAACCCAGTAAGATATATGCCTTAAATGATGCTTAAGTTTGGACAATGAACTGCAAATAACTACCAGACAACTGGCAGCTTACAGTTTTGCAACAGTTAGAGACAGATGTACAAGTAAAAATCATGGATCTCAAATAGCAATCCCATCTAAATAGATTTCCTGTTTACTTTGCATCAGCCTTTCTTACAGGTGCAGGGTGCTTACTTTTGGCAGTAGGGGAAAGTACTGATTTATAAACCATAAGAACATCTTCTCACTTTCCATAAATAGGTTACAGAATTAATTAAAACTGCAGCACATCAACTCTGCACATGAAACCTGCTCTGTTATTGGAGACTAATGTAATCCAAATATGTGGAAAGTCAAATAGTTTTCAACAAAGCTAATTTAGATGGATGGATCAGATAACAACTTGGAACTGAACCTGACAGAATCATTTCTACTCAAAGGCAGTAAGTGCTGAATGTTATATCCCAAAATGAACAAGGAAAATATTGAATTTTAATCTATTACCAGAATGATTAAAAACAATACTTTACAAAAATGTTTAAAAATATCTCACTTGAAGAAATTACAAAGACCCATAAGACTACCATACGTTCTATTTTAAATAAATGAAAAAGACCATGTAAATGTCATGAAAGACAGTATGAAATCTGCATTTAATCCTATTGAGGTTCTGCTACCTACTCAAAGAATATGCTTCCATCTATAACATGTTATCCTCATGAAGACATATATAAGGGTATTGAAGAAAGGTGGCTTCTTTATACCTTTACACTGTTGAGGCTACTGGTGTCCATTACTATGATAAATGATGACAAGCACAGAAAAGTACAACTTTTCATGAGCTAATGGATTTAATCTTATTGACAAAGCAATGGCAATTATATCCTTATATAGTACAATCAAAAGTAAATAAAGTAAAAGGGTAGAGTAAAATGATGAAAATGGAAATTTGTCTTCTGAGTCACCAGCTTCTCTCTCCTTTAGTTCTCTTCAGTAAGTAAAGGAAGGACAGATATGGGCAAGGAGGGAAATGTGGAGATCAGAAGGAACATCCTAAAGTTACTACCACCCTGATGACAAGAACTACTCTACTTGTGGCTTATGGAGTCCTCTGGAATGGCTGGGAGCACAAGACCATGGGTAACATCAATTTACATGATGTAGAGCAATTCCAATCATAGCATAGCTATGTCCTCTGATACTTCTGGATATTCCCTTAATATTCTGTCCTCTTCATAGGGTAAACTTCTTCCTTTTTTCTGTCCCAAGTCCCCTAATGAGTACTGAATAATTTTAGGAACTTTATTTTCCAGTTAGTGTTAAGGTTGATTTAGTATTTCATTCCTACCTTTTCCCTTTTTTTTTCTTTTTTTTTAGTACTTGTATGATCTCCAAGACTTCTGTGACAGCCAGACTCTAAGATTCTCCAATGCCCCCTGACTCCTGGGTTTCACATTCTTGTGTCATCCTCTCCCACACTGAATAGAATTAATGGCTGACCTCTGTATCCAATGAGCTATAGCAATGTGTGGCTCCTCAGGAGAGGTCATAAAAGGCATTGCCGCTTCCACCTTGCTTTCTCTCACCTCTTAGATTGCTCACTCACTCACTCTGAGAAGCCAACCACCATATTGTGAGAATAGCCAAGAGGTCTATGGAAAGGCCCTCAAGGTAGGGAGGAAATAAACCCCCTGTCAACAACTGGCACCAAATGAGTGAGCTAACTTAGAAACAGTTGACTGAATCCCCAGTCAAGCTTTCAGAAGACTACAGCCCCAGCTGATATACTGCAATGTCATGAGATCCTGAGCTAAAACCACCCAGCTAAATGTTCTTGAATTCCTGACCCAGGGAAACTGTATAAATTGATAAATGCTTATTATTGTTTTAAGCTGCTAAGTGTTGAGGTAATTTGTTAAGCAGCAATAACTAACTCATACTATTTCTTCTTACAGAAACAAAGAAATACAAACAAGTATGCCACTGGATGAAGCATCTTCATTAACAACATAACGTTGTTATATGAGAGACTCACAACTCAAGCCAAATAAATAACTCAACAGGCTTTTAAAAAAATTTTGAGGTATAACTTACATAGGCAAAATGCACACTCTTAAGTGTACACGTCAGTGAATTTTGACAAGTTTTGCAAGAACATGCACCATAAGTAATACCCTAATCAAGATGTAAAAATTTCCATTACCCAGATAGTTCAGTCAAGGCTATTTTGAATCAGTACTTGTATTGCCCTCTTCCCAACCAGAGTCAAGCACTATTTTTATATCTATCACCGTAGATGAGTTTTGATTGCTCTAGAACTTCATACAAATGGAAGAATATGATTTTTGTGTCTGGCTTCTTTTGCTCAGCATAATATTTCTAAGGTTCATCATGTTGTTGTGTCAGTAGTTTATTCCGTTTTATTGTTGATTAATATACCACAATCTGCTTACCCATTCTCCCATTGATGGACACTTGAGTTCTTCCCAGTTTGGGGCTACTATGAATAATGTTTCTGGTAACATTCTTGTGCAAATATTTTGGTGGGCATGCATTTTTCCTTTGTCTTGATTAAATGCCAAAGCAGGGCTGGGACTACAGGGAGGCAAATGATGTACCTCTTGGGCACAAATTTAAGGAGATCCTCTACCTAGGAGGAGGATTGCTGGATCATAAAATAGATGTTTCTAAAACAACTTGCTTTTTATATTATAGCACTGAATTTTACACTTAGACTTGTCATGGGTTCTTCTATCAAAAAAATCTACCATTTAAGTAATGGGGAATAGTAGGTTAATATACTAGTATAATATATTAGTATTAGAAAACATATGCTTATAAAGGCAATTGATTAATATATTATCACATGTAATTCATATTAAATAAAATATAAAGCTGACAATAACTTCCTCTAGAATGATCCCTAGTTCAAGTAAAACTCCTTGTTCTACAGATATGGAAAATGATTAAGAGATCGGTCCAAGGCTGCCTAGCTAGTTAGTGGCTTTTTCATCATATATATTGCCTTGTAAATCTTTATACAAATTTAACCCAAACTCAGTTAAAATTCCTAAAGACATGACTACAATTGGTTTTCAATTTTAATGTCAACTAGCTTTCACAGAGAACTTTTTTTTTTTTGCATTGGTGGCCTATAAATAAAAGTGTAAATTTAAACTGGTGGGCAAAGAGTAATATGTTCTTAAAAAAATACAATTAAAGATTTGTGACATGCAAAAATTATACCTATAAAAACATATTTACTAAGTTAGGTTAAATATATAGAAAAGTCACTTTTATCACCATGGTCAGATTAGACTTTTCTAAAAAAGCAAGTGACGCAACTGGATACTTGATATCTGCATCTTTCATTCCAGCGACCACTTAAAACCAAACCATTTAACGTAGCAAGGAAAGTACTTTTATTCAATTTATTTGTTTTGCTGTTATTAAATTACTACCATTTAGTAAGATACACACTTTTCCTCCCTTGCAAAAGATTTATCTTCATCTATAATATAGCAATGATTAAAGAGTATTGACTAAGAATAAGAATATTTCTTTAATCTAGGATGGATAATTACAATCCTATAAAGGCTCATGGCAAATATTTTTCATTGGTTTAGTACAACTTAATTCATTAAAGAAACATTTTTCGGGCTTCCCTGGTGGCGCAGTGGTTGAGAGTCCGCCTGCCGATGCAGGGGATACGGG